AAAAACAAAACGAAACCACATGAGGCTGAGGATTTCCTTAGCCCCTCCGGGAAGTGTGTAACACTGTGCTTCTGGCCGGCAGGCGGGATCGGATGGGGGCCTGTCAAACGTCAGGATAGTTGCAGTAATATACCGCAGAGCTGGCGTCGGACACCACCGAGGAAATGGCCCCGTGGCTGTCTGGGAGATTCACACCGGAGTCATGTCCCTGGTAAGGGAGACCCATCTCGGGCTTGCACACAAAGTGTAGATACTGTTCAAATTCCGTGCGGTCCACCTCCCCGAGGAGCTCGGCGGGCTGGTTCGGGTCCGCGCCGTCCCGGCAGGGCAGGGCCTCGGGAGGGGGCGACGGCTGCCCCGGGCCGGGTGGGTGCTGCGGCGGCGGCAGAGAGAAGCCGCGCCCGCCGCCCGCCGCCGGCGAGCTAATCGCGTTGTAGTACAGCTGCAGGGCGCTGGAGGGCGCCACGTGGCCCGGGACTGCAGGGCCCGCCTGCTCCAGGCTGAGCCGGGAGTGCATGGGGCCGACTGGCGGCTCCGGGGGCCCCGCGTAGTCCGAGGCCTGCGGATAGCTGTAGGGGCCGGCCGCCGGACAGTCCCCGGGCAGCGGCGCGGCGAAGAAGGCGGGATCCGGCTCCACGCCGTCCAGCGGGGACGTGTCCGGCGTGGGCAGCGGGTAGCCGTCGAGCGGGGGCGCGCCCAGGCCCTGGCAGTCGCGGTAGTGGCCGCCCATGTGCGGGGGCAGCAGCGGCGGGCCGGTCGGGAAGCCCTGCTCGGGGAAGGGCAGGCCCAGGCCGTCCATGGCCACGCGGCCGCCCTCGGGGCCCAGCGTGGCGGCCGGCGGCTCGGCGAGGCCGTGCAGGAAGCCGCCCTCCACCCGCTTCAGTCGCTTCACCTGCTTGCGCCTCCGCGGCCGGTACTTGTAGTTGGGGTGGTCCTGCATGTGCTGCACGCGCAGCCGCTCGGCCTCCTCCACGAAGGGCCGCTTCTCCGCCAGGGTCAGCGCTTTCCACGACTTGCCTGCATGGGCGTAGGAAGGTGGAGAGGGGCGCCGGGCTTACTTTCCGAGCTCCCGCTCCCGGGCCCCAGGGCCCCCCTGGCCCTACCTCTCCCCTCCGACTTTTAATTGAGCAACTAGAGGGAGGGAAGAGGTCAAGTTAAAGAGTGAAAGGCTGCGACTCCAGAGGCCGAGCGGAGTCCAGACACTTGGGGAAGACAGGACATCTTGGGTCCTCTAAGGGCAACCCTCCCTTCTTTTAGCCTCCAGGAAGCGGCTTCCCAGCTCACCCATTCCCGGCCTTTCAGGAATTGAAAACGTCCCCTACTCGGGGAAGGAGTAGGGGAACGGGCAGGACCAAACCCGCCTGGCTCCCGGGATACCCTCGAGGTGGCCCAGACCGGCGGTGAAGCCGCCTCCCCAAAGCCGTTGTAGCCGCGGCCCCGGTCACCCGGGTTACCCGGGCACCGACGACCCAGACCATTTGGAGAGTCGGGAGAGGGCATGCGGAAGGGGAACCGAGGGCCACAGGGAAGGACCCTGGAGGCACCACACCACTGGCCTCGAGCGCAAGGCACGCACCCCTCTTGGACTCAAGGAAGCGGCTCCGCGATTCGCACCGCCCTGGGTCGGGAGCTCGGACTCACCCAACATCTTGCTCAACTCGGCGTTGTGCAGGTCCGGGTTCTGCTGCGCCAGACGCTTGCGTTCGTCCTTAGCCCACACCATGAAGGCGTTCATCGGCCGCCGGATGCGAGACTCGCCCTTGGCTCGGCCCGCCGCCCCCGCCGGCGCCCCGCTGCTCGCCGCCGCCTCGCCCTTCACCTTCATGTCCCCGAGGGGGCTCAGCGACTCGGCCCAGGGGCAGGGGCCCAGCCCGGCCATCACCGCGGGCAGCGCGCTGCGGGTCTGGCTCTGGTCGTCACTGGCGTACCCCGCATCCGGGCTGCTCATGGCGCTCCAGCCCTGCCCCGCGCCCCACAACCCTCCGCCGACACACCGCCTCCCCCGACCCGGGGGAGGGGGTGGGAGCGAGGGACGGAGATGCCCCGTGGGCTGCCGAAGTCTCCCGGGCCTGACCCCGCTGCCGACGTTCCTGGCCAGTCCTAGCCCACCGCGCAACCAGCGTCCCCGCCGGCCCAGTGACACTGCGGGCGCCCCGGGCCGCGGGCCCTTTTCTGCACTGATGTGGCCAATGGAGTGGTGGGGGCGGGCCGGGCGAGCGTCTTTAGGCCCACGCCCAGCCAGCCGCCCGAGTCCCAAGTCTCACTTCAACCCCACGCCCGCCCTTTCCCCTCCCCCGGCCCCGCGCCCAAGGCTACACCTGCCCCCGGAAAAACTGGCTGAAGCCGGGCTCTGGCTGCACGTTCCCTCCGACCCGGCAAGGGGGACTCCTGAGAAACCTTCTGGAATGCTGACTGTACCGCTGGATAGAAGTACTTGGCCACGATAGTTCAGATGAACACACTAAGCATACTCTTTTTTTCCCCCTTAAATATGACACTTCTATAATTTGGGTTACTATGCAGCTATTTAAAAAGAATAAATCTATGTATCTATATACCGTATTCAGAAAGATTTTTATATTAAGTGGAAAGAGTCAGTTAACATTTGAGCATACACTTTATTATGGGAGCTAAGGATTTCAGTGTGGGGAGGCGACCTATCTTCAGGGAACCCCACGGGTGTCTTCTTGAAGTGTGTTTTATTGAATGCAATAGATACTGTTGCTAATAAATTAAAAATGCATTCTCTCCCCAAGAACTCAACTTGCTTGTGGTACTACATTCAAAATGCTGTGTCCGAGGTAAATTCTAATTTCTAAAACAAGATTAAATACGGAATGACATCCTGTAGCCAATATTCCGTCATCCTGAAGAATTTAAAACCTTTATTCATAACAATGAAGAAACCCTTGAAAATTTGTGCATGAAATGTATGATAAACATAAAAGGTTTCTCATACATGTTCAGTAAAAGAGGCAAGACTTAGTTTTGATTTCTAAAATGTGGTAACACTAGCAGCAATATTTATCTTAAAGCCCATCTAATGGAGGAAAGAGCTATCCGGTTGCTCAGCAAAGTAACTGTAGCTCTTATGGGATTCTATACGTTTCTTTAGACTGAAATGAAAATCTGAGTGTATTCGACTTGTGTTTAAATCTGAAACCTTTTCAGTGGGATTTTTTAAACAAGCCCTCATATTGCACTTACATGGCACAGCCCTCAAATTTAGTAAGCTAGTTTATCCTTATAATTCTGTGAGGTAGACACTGTTACATATTACAGGATAGGAACCTGAGACACAGTGAGGTTAAGGAACTTTCCTGAGGTCACAGCACTGAGGAGTAGAATTCATCTCCAGTACTCTGCCCTGATTTTGAGCTCCTAATCACTAAACCAAGCTGTTGTACTTGTGTATTTGTATATTTGTGTTTTCTAAGGCGATTAACACAGCCATTTCTGCATAATTCCGTAACTTTGCAAAGAAATTAATACATCACTGTCCAGAACAGATTTTCTTTGTTTACTGTGAAGGTGTGATGACAAGCTAAGGCTAACATCCGGGATTTGGGAGGTAAATGCTGCAGCATTTTTGTGAAATTAGAGTAACAAAGTATTCTATCAAGTCTGCTTATTGGTGGCATTCATAAAAACAAAGAAACACAACACCTTAGGAAACCTCTGGCCTACAGTTTCTCTGACATTGCTATTACCCCCCACCAAAAAAAAAAAAAAAAACCCTCCTTCACACGGGTTTTAAGCCAAATTTACTTTGACTCTGTGAGAATCTGTGAAGCTTCGGCTGCCCTCCCTCACTGTTAGAAGCCAGTCTTCATACACAGGATAAATTAAGTGGTTCTAGTTCCTGGGTCTCTGAGGTTCAACCCAGAAAAAAATTTTAATCTGCTTAAGAAAATCATAGACAAGTGTTATTTTTAATGGGTGGTTTTGAAGGAGCTGATCTTAAACAAATTTAACTGTGTACCTTTCCTTTAAAGCTTTATTTTTTCTGAAATAAATATGGGCTTGAAAATTAAGCATAATTGCTTTGCAAATGGTTATATAAATAAGGAAACTATAGGAGAGAAAAAGTTCACCCCATAGCGCCTTGCTCCTTGTTTTCTTGGCGAGCTTCTCTAATTTTTCTGGATAATAATCAATATCTTTGCAAAGATCTCGAAGCAGATTTTGTATTAGTGAAAAAGTTTTCATGAACAGGAGTTTCGTTAGATTAGAGATTGAAAACCAAACAAAAACACTGCCCGTTCCAGAATCCATTTTATCTGCCTATATTAATCTATTTGATTAGTTCTGTAAAAAAATAACATAGGGTACAGAAAATTCAATCCAAGTGTGAATCAAAAAAAAATGTATATGCATGGGTTTACCCTTGTACACTTTCTTCGTCCTCGTTTTCTTCCTGGCCCACACCATTCCAGGGAGAGGTGCAGAGAGAACCTGATGGGGGAAACAACCTGGAGGACCGCCATTATTATTTGCACGTGTTCTTGGAGACAGACTACTAATTTTTGTTGGGTAAGATTACTGAGAACTCAGGTGAGAGCACAGCATCCACAGGATGGAGCGGGAGCTTCAGACTTTGCGTCCCTCCCCCACTTCTTAGAACGCCTTCCCTGGCAGTTATAAAGGAGGAGTTTACTTATATTTGCCAGTTGGGAATTACGGTGCCTTCTTAAGACTAGTCCCTTTTACCTACCATTACCTAGATCTAATTTCTTCTGATCATTCACATGTCATGTATTTTGGGGGGAGGGTGTTGGGGGCTGCGGCGCCGCAGACCAGTCCGTGGTGTGTGTGGACCCTTCTATTTCGGTCTCTTTACTAAACGCGGTGTTGAAGTCGAGCTCTAGACGTTATCAGAGCCAGCCACAAATGCCACATGAAAAGCAGCAAACATCCGGAGTGGTTTCCTGCAAGCCTTGCTTTTCTCAACACGAGAGATTTACGCGGGGGATTCGGGCGGGGGTGGGGTGGGGGACGACAAACTAGTTTCGCGAGTCAGAGCCTCGTACACCCGCTCGGGTAGGCGGCCGGGTGCATTTGCACCGCACAGTCCAGGATCTCTGGGTTCCTGGCTACTAATTGCACTCACGGTCCCCAGGCCAGACTCGAGGCTCGAAAGGCTGGCGAGGAAGCGACTAGCGCAGCAAGAAGCTGTGCCCGCTGCCACTTGGGGCCTTTGGCCCGTGGGCGCAGAAATTAACCCGGGTAGGTGACGAGCTGTGGCTCAGACCCGGGGAGTCGGAGACGCGCTTTTCCCGGGGCCCGAGTGAGCAGGCAAAGACTGGGTGATTTCCTGCAGGCTTTTGTGTTTTCGATGCTCGGGAAGCGGGAGCCGGACGAAGGACTTTCACGTTAGGGAAGGCCGTGGGCACCCAGACAGATCCGGGTTGGCTCTGGAGAGCAAGTCCTTGGGGGCGGGGAGGGGAGTGCGCGCCGCAAACCCAGGGAAAACGCCGAGGAGGCCCGCGGATGAATAGACAATGCTGTCCTTGGAACAAAGCACAACAATAAGGCCTTTGCATTTATAAATCGCGCGCCGGCGGCGGCCTCCGGGAGCCCCGCGGGAGGCGGCGAACGGCGGCGGAGCGCGGGCGAGGCTCCGCACCTCCCAGGTAGGGCCGAGCAGCCGGACGCCGCCGATTCGCATCGCTCGCCCCGGCGCCGACCGGGCGGCGGCGCCGCGCGTCTCGATACCTTGCGCCTCTCCTCCCTGTCCCTGGGCCAGTCCCCCGTGGGTCCGGGATGCGAGGTCGAAGGTCGCGGGTGGGATGGGAGAGGTGGGGAGGACGGAGTGGCCCGGAAGACTGGGCCACCCGCTCCGCCGCCCTTACCCGTCCCTCCCCAGAGTCGGAGCCCCACGGACCTGGCACCTTGCTCTCGGCCCTAACCCGTCGGTTGTGCGGGAGCCCAAAAAGAGCGACAGCGAGAGGGGCTTTGGGGCACCTGTTCTGCACGAGGATGGGAGGCGTGTGTTTTGCTTTCACGCCCTGTCGAACTCGGTCCGTCTGAATCTCTCCCCAATACGCGGACCCCTCGAGGCCGCCCGCGAACCGCGCCCTGGCAGCTGGCGACTCCTCGGTCGTAACCCTGTTCCCGCTTGGCTCCGCCTGGGGTTTGCACCGGCGAAGCAGGAAATGCGCTGTTCCCGGTCCACTTCCCTGCTCAGAAACTCGTCCGCGGGGGTGTTTCTTAGATCCCCCCCACCCCCAGCCCCAGCTGTGGTCCTGGTAGAAGTGTGGGCTCCTTCCCTTTACTCTCTGGCAGAGAGAACCTCAGGCTCCCGGGGGTTGGAGGGCAGGTGGCCTTTGGGGTGAAGGAGAAGGCAGCCCAGCTCCTTCTCCATTTTCCATGAGCACACTGTCCTGCTGTCCCCTTCATAGTTGCCTTGCGACTTGAAAGGGAATTTCAATAGCGGCATGGCTTCTATGCATCGCTTCTGCTAACCTCCTGCTTCCACCCTCCTCACACCCTAGAAGAGGCCAGGGCTTTCCTTGTAAAGCTGTATCTTCAACTGACCCGTCTTATCAGCCCCAAGCCCACGGTGAGCAGAACACTTGGACTCCCACCCAAAGGCAAGCAGTCACGGCCCTTGCCTTGGAGGAATGCACAATGCAGTACCATTAGTCTTCCTCTCTGATTTATTCACTTCCAGCGGGGTGCTCTAGGCCTGTTCTCCTGTGATCATTTGTTCCTGGCTTGTAAAGGGGATGCCAACATCAGTAGGCCAAGTACTCTTGAGATTTTTTTTTTTTTTTCTAGTAGAGGTAAGAAGTTTCCTTTCCACCAGGAAAACTCTGACTTGCCAAGTTTCCCTAGTCAGCAGGGCTGGGTTTGGGCAGGTGGTTGGTGAGGGTGAGGTGTGTGTTCTGTGATCATGAGAGTGATCAAAGTTAATAGGTCATAGGACAGGGCACTCCTGACAGCACTCATTCTGTACTCTTCTGTGCAACCTCAGCCAGAAGCGTATCAGATTTTGAAATAGGCACCTGAGTTGGCTTCCAAAGTTTCTAAGCAGGATAAAAAACATCAGGACTCCTTGCTGGTTTCCTTGGCAGTCAGTCTTTCGTAGACCTCTGTGGCCTGAATTTTCTTCTCCCATTTCTTTGACCTTGCCAAAAACATTGTCAGTACTTTTTAAGGCCTGGACTATTCTCTCTCACCCTCTCCTTCATCAGCTGGGTCTCCATCACAGAGCACCTGAAATCTCACTTCTTCTGAGGATGAACTCCAGTCCTGTTGCTTTTCTGAACCCATTCAGCATGGAAGTCCAGCCCAAGAATGTACATATTTGCATGTGGATATAAGGCATAAGCAAGTTTCTATCTTGGGGCATTTTGCACAGCCAAAACCTTGAGTATTTATTTCTTCATAATCGTAGAGAAAGCAGTTTCACATACATTCACTCACCTGATTCTCATGGCGGCCTTAGAGGTGTGAAGCCTTTGTTATAATCCCCATTTTTCAGACAAGGAGATTGAGATGGAACAATGATAGGGGACTTGCTCAAGGTCACATGACATGATGCTTGGACTGCCTGTTTGCCCTTGTTCTCAGTGGTGGGTCTTGGTCTGAATTTCCCATGTCATGTCTACAACCCATGAAGGGCCTGATGGTGTTTGTAGGGACTAACTAATGACAGTGGACAGGTAGAAATGGATTAGGATTCTTGCACAGAAGCTTCCGGTGCAGTCCCTAACCAGGTCGTGATCATTTCCTTAATATCAGGGATGCAGGGCTATAACAAGAAAGCATTTTCATTTGGAAGATCTACAGTTAGGTATTTTTATTAGATCACATAATCTAAGCCCTGGCGGACATCTCATTTATTTTGAATATTATTGAATGAGCAATATTTGAGTATTAAATTTGTGTGTTGTGAACACATTCTAATTCCACTGGAAAAATGAAAACAGCTCAAAGTTACATGGGAATAAAGTTAAAATACAAGGAAGTTGAGGTCTTCAAAGCTCTGCCCCTGTACATCCATTAGTTCAAACAGAAAGAGACTCAGTGAATAACATGAAACTCTTGGGGTCTTGTCACATGTTTAAGGTTTATGCTATTAGTCTCTAGACCTACTGCTGACCAAGTCTTTAAGGCATAACTACATATGCTCAGCAGCTAGGTAAAGTAAATTCTTTCCATTCTTACTGCTGTTTGGGAGAGTAATGGATGACAAATATCAATTCTATTTTATGAAGTGGAAAATTAAGGCACAGAGCCATTGGGTAATTTGCTTAATGTTTCCAAACCAGTCTAAAAGACAAGAGAATAATTTATTTCTTTAATCAACAAATAATTCTCTAGCACCCGTAAGTCTGAGGCTTAGTGCATCCTGGTACATTGGTTATGAGTACAAATTTGGGAGTTGAACTGCTTGGAATTGAATTCACATTCTACTGTTTATCAACTATGTATCCTTAGACATATTACTTATCCTGTAAGCCTCCTGTGTAAAGTGGAAGTTAATTATAGTAATAACCTCAGAGCTTTATGAGGATGAAATGAGTTGATTGTTCATAAACTGCTTAGAATAGGATCTAGCACATGGTAAGTGCTACACAGGTATTTAATAATAAAATAATAGTAATAAAACTGCCAGCATGTGAAGACACGTTGGATACATTTTAAAGAGCTACCATAGTACTGAAGGTAAATGCATTGTAACAACTAAAGAAATGTTTTCAAGAAAAAAATTAAGGACATTTCATAATATTGTAGCATTATTATAACTAGTAATAACTAACATCCTGTTTTCATCAAAATTGTCTGTTACATTGGCAGAAGCTTTTAGAGAGTTCTATAAACTATTGTGCATTTTCCAATTACATGTGAATATGAACATTTTAACTTTGGTGGTAAAAAATATCTTTGTTTTATGCATGTCAACTTTCTAAAATTGTGTTAAGACTGGCAAGGAAAAAAGTACATAGAATCATAAGACATTCAGTATTCCATTAGAACATCTCTGAAATGCTAAGAGACACCTTGCAACCAGTACTTACCTGGGTAGGTCTAGATTCTTCTCCTAGAGTCACAGAGACAAAGTTCAATTTTGATAACTACGCCTGGTATACATATATTTAAAGGAAGTGTAACCCACCAACCTTGCCTGGATCTTTCAGTGTAGTATAATTAAAAGATTCTAAAGTCTAGTTGTGGTTGTTCAATAACTTGCCACTAGGTAAACTGTGAGTCTGTTAAATTCCTCATGCTCAGCTTTCTCAAAAAAAGAAGAGGATAATACCTCAAGTCTTCCCAGTTTTTCCAGATAAAGATAAGAACGAAAGTCACAAAGATTTTTACAAAGTAAAAGTGCTAAATGGAACTATGTTAGTGTGTGTGTGTGCGTGTGTGTGTGTGTGTCCATGAATGTCTGGGTATATATGCATTTAGAGAAGATTCTTTGTACAAATGTATATATATATATATATATATATATATATATAGCAAATTGAGTATAATGGAACAAGGGATTGTGGAGAAGACTGACTACTTTGGGCTATAATGGAATACTGCTGTTTTTAGAGCAAAAGGTTTTGTTTTGTCTTGTTTTTAAACTAATTACTATGCAGAAGGTCTCACCTTTGATCCAGGACAAAGCAGATGCTATTCTTATGAACTAAGACTATGGATTTACTGGATAGCCATTATTTTAGGAAAGCTAAGATTATTTCAGTGGTTAATTTAAAACTGGAATTTGGATGGGGCGCCTGGGTGGCTCAGTTGTTAAGCGTCTGCCTTCGGCTCAGGTCATGATCCCGGGGTCCTGGGATCGAGCCCCGCATCGGGCTCCAGCCCCGCATCGGGCTCCCTGCTCTGTGGGAAGCCTGCTTCTCCCTCTCCCACTCCCACTGCTTGTGTTCCTGCTCTCACTGTGTCTCTCTCTGTCAAATAAATAAAATCTTTAAAAAAAATAAAAATAAAACTGGAATTTGGAGACAAATAGACAACTCTTTCCTTTTGACACTTCCTTCTTACATAACATTTCCCTGGAACTCACCTGACATTTACAGAATCCTAGGACAGAAAGGGACTGTATAACCCATACCTGCTTTTTTCCAAGTTCCATACAATTACCCTAGTGAGAATTTGGAAACATGGAAATGTTTTACACAGGAAATATCACATATTACACTAATATATGAAAGCATTTGTTACTTACACAGCTGTATATATATATACACACACACACACATATATATACACTTATACAGCTATATAAACATGCAGGTATTTTTTAAAAATCATTTATTTTGAAACAACTTCAAACTTAGAAATTGCAAGAATATTATAAAGAACTGCGTCATCTTCACTGAGACACTTTGGTAATATTTTATCTCTTTTGCTCCATCTCTATCTAAATAAATAAAAACAGTTCGCCACATTTACTTTATCTCACTTTCCCTCTCCAAAAAGGTGTCAATGTGTAGAACAGTATAAATATATAATACATATATTAGTTATCATTAACATATTAAAATTTACCATACATTATAGATACTGTATAAATATGTAATACATCAATGTATTATTTTAGATCTTATATATTAAAACATAGACATGTATGTATGTATGTATGTCATTAGCCTTTTTCTGAACCAGTCGAGAG